TACGGAAGGTATATTGCTTGTTAAAGAGAATTGGATATTGACAAGCTTTGTGGTATACAATGGTTTTATTTTGTTTTGAAAGAAAATAAAGTAGGTAAAAGCCGAAAAAAGTTTTGCCAATTCCGGGATTACCAGTAATACGACAACGACGTATTTTCCCATTAAAGATAATATCAACTAAGTGGAGGTAACATTCACGGATATATAAAATAGCGCCTTGCTCTTTCTCACCCAAGAAGTAGACGCCTTCTGGTAGCTGAAGGAAATTATTATCAATTTTAGCATTCACTAAAAAACTCCAAAACTTTCCTAGATCTTCTTCAGTTTCATTCCATGGACGGACTTTCTTGCGCTTGATAGTTAATTCTATAATGAAATAAGTATTAAGTGCATGTTAAAAATTAAAATGACAGCAAAAAAATCGTGTAGGTTTGAAATATTCGATTGAAGCCACGATACTTGCCTTGCTCTTGCAAAAAATTACTCAAATAACTTATCTTTTCATTATCATTTTCAATTGACATAAGAACCATGTTTACCTCTTCTTTTATTTTTGGATTATTAGTAAAAATGATACGGAGCGCTGTTTTATCTTCACTGTGCAAATTAAGTCTAGATACTTCATTATAAACAAGAGACATATTCGGCGTAAAAACGTAAAAAATTATTAGATATCAAAATTTATTTGGATTTGGGGCGATCTAAAAATTTGATATTAAGCATGATTTTGATTGGCTATCTATTTTATATTAACAAAGTATTGTTACATAAAATTTTATATTCTTTTTACAATACGTAGAAATTGTCTGAATTGGACGTATTGAATTTTTATAATCAATGCTACCTGAAATTTTGCCAAATTATTTTCTATGTAGATATAATGCTAATTTGATCCATAGTTAACTTAGTAATAGTTAATGCAATAGATTTATTTATTTTTTTTTTTACTAAGAAAATAAAATTTTTTATGCCCTCTCTTTTCTCTTCCGAATAGTAGTTTCTGGAGTGCCATCGGGAAGTTGTTTTTCGATTTCTTTTTTAACCTCACTATTAGCATCATTTATATTGTATGTTTTTTCATAATAGAACTTAAAACGTTTTGCTATACCTATCCCAAAATTATAGTATTGAATAATAACATTCTGGTTTGGTTTCTGAATATCACATTCGGCAGAGGTAATTTTAGTATATAAATTTAGAAAGTCAATAGGCTGTGGGTTGGTTTCGGTAGCTGTTACTGGGTAAGAAGTTATCGTATCTGTGTTTTGTTCAGAGGTGTTGGATGTTAATTCTGAAATAAGTTTTTCTACAGTATTAAGAATCTTTTTTATCGCCTTTTTCTTTATTCTGTTTTGGTTTTTTACTGAATGATTTATTTTTAGTGGTATCTTCGCTAGGTCTTTTTTGAGTCTGCTCCTTATGGGTTGCGAATAATGGAAGATCCGAAAAACTAGAGTTAGAGATACGATGTGCTTCTGAGCTTATTGTATCTTGGCTTTGACTAGATACTAGAGGGGAAGTTTCCATTGGAACAGCAGTATTTACTAATGAAAACTCAATTTCTATTGCACACTTTGGGCATTGCGGAAGATCTTTTACATAATCCTCAAGACAGCTACGGTGAAATATATGGCCACAAATGAGTATGGTAAATGGTTTTTTAAGTTCGTACAAAAAAAGCTCTTCTTTACACTTTGAGCATGGATCTAATTCTAGAACTTCAACACCTTCTGCAATAACTTCCCGGGAGCCATTCTTAAGGATATTTAAAGCAAGGTTTTTGAGACACAAAATGTTTTGAGGTGTTGGGTTAGTAGACATATTCAAAGGTAAAATTTTGCTTGATTGAAAGAGATAGTATACGTTATTAAGAGTTACAGACAGATAAGTATTTCATAATTTTCTTTATACTTAGCTCATTTTTATATATTAAACACCCCCACGACTAACAAAACTAATTTGCAGATTCTATTAAGCCAATTTCGGATTTGGCGATCTATTCATTCACGAATTATTTAGTATGGGCCAGGAGAGTCAGGCACGTAACTGCCATTGTTCCACAATAAGACTCGATCCAAAGGATCATTGCTCGATCTTCGCTGGCAATCGTGGATAAATAATTTAGCTTAAGGGTAGACCCAAAGGGTCATTGCTCTGCATTAAGTGCGGTTAGTGAGTTGGTTAGTACCGAAATACTTCTATGCTGATCTCCGATTCGTGGATTTAAAACACATGACATTGCTGAAAAATAATTATAATTTATTCTGAATTTTATCATGTACCAAGGTACATATTACTACACGATATTGACAATGAATAAAGCTACATTAGAAAATAATCATAAATCTCGAAATGGTAATAGTGTGATATCTCGCATTATTAAACATGTGTCAAATAAAAAAATTCAGATCTCTCTCCGTCAATTACTAAAAATAGTGAAACCCGAGATTCAGCAGGATATTATAAACTTGATAGCAAACCCAGATATTTCTCAAAGAAATCATACACCATTTGAGGTTAAAAGAAAATGCAATGCTAGAAAAAAACTAATTTTTAATAATACCGCATCTGAGTCCTCGTCTTCATCTGGCTCCGACTCTGAATCTTCTAGCGATGGTGAAGATTTTACTATGGGTGTGGTGAAAGTGAAGAAGCGTGATTAGTTATTATCATCATAAAGTCAGAATGGTCTCGCTTCTTCAGGAGTTTGCCCACGCTTGCGATAATTTACCACAACATAATTTTGTACTGGTGAACTATGGTTATTGGTGTTATGGCGTAGACACTCTCCAGCAATTGTCATTACATGTGCTGAATTTTGAGCTCCGTGTACTACTGCCCCATAAACCGCACCTAATTTACACAAGTGACGAGAGATTAAATCATAGTCTTTTAAAAATCTATTAAACCATTTACATTCAGGTTTTTCCTGGGTCACCGATTTGCCCAGAAGAAATAGCATTCTGTATCCAGGTTAGTAATTCTTTGGCTCATTCTTGATTCTTCTCCATAGATCTAAATTTTCTAGGGATGTCTAGCTGTCCTCTATTCTTCGCAAAGCCTGTCACTCCAATATCTGTAATACATAAAGTTGTAAGTTCAGCGGGGCGTATACAAAGTATTATCATAACATCTGCAAGAGCTTGTAAATCGGGCGGAGTAGAAATATCATATTTATCTAATCTTTTCTTAACTGATTCTAATGTAAAATAATCTGGATAATCAATTCT